AATATTCCAGTGGAAACGTGTGTTTCCTAAACTGCACTAGAGCAGGTGAACAGCTGCAGGGTGGTTTTTTTGTTTTGCTTGCTTTTAGCTCTGGATGAACTGGTACTCAGTAACTGTTTAGATGGAGACAATGGATGGTAACTTTATCTGACAGAAGGCCTCTGCCATGGCAATAGGTACCTGAAGTCTTTACACTCACTGTACATTGCCCAGCTTCAGAGAATCATGGTTTTATAGAAATTTAAGACCCCTATTTGGAGATGTGAAAGTGGTGAGTGGACGTATTGAAGGACATGAAATTAAATTATTGATAGAAGTCTTTTAAACACAGTGTTTTAGACATTTGCCCAAGAGAAAGGAGAAATAGTCTCATATGCAAAATTATTCCTCTTCACATAGCACCTCTTGGGGAAACAGGTGAATGAAAAGGAAAGAAAGGTAAATACAAATTCCTAATTTGTAAGAATGGCATTATCATAGTGTTGTTGATTGATTTAAAACATTTCATAAAATGCCAGGCTCTAGGAATGCAATGCTGTTAATTTAAGGGCAGTTAATAGAGATAAAATTGTTATTTGCCGGCATCATTATCTAAAGCAGCCCTTTCCTAACTGCTCCAAATGATGTTTTCTTATTGTATTTTTACTGCATACTTTAAACTAGGAGCAGCTGCCATTCTGACAGACCCTTTCTAATCTCATGTTATCTAGGGTGGAAGTCAAAGGCCAATACTGTATTTGCTTCATCGGTGTTACTGTTTTTAAACATCTGCTTAGACTGAGCATACTACTTGCTCTGGAGTGATGTGGTCATGACTCATGGCTCTTTATTCATTACAGGTGATACTTAATGATTTTTGTGTAATATTCATCTGGTTACATGTTAGGTAAATGAGATTACCAAATCCTTTTTTTTTTGGTTCATCACACTTCAACCCAGGTATTCTCCCTCACATTATTGACTCCCTGTTTCATATGTTTTAAAACATATTTTAACAAGATAACAAGTTTTTTCAGTACCATACATCAGAGACTACTTTTCAGGTTGTGTTCATGTTGTCCTGTGTTTTAGGACTTGTAAAAAGATTATTCTTAGATGGTGTTTTAAGGTTTCATAATAATTTTTTGATTTTGTGTTGTCCTGAGTTGGATGAGGTGTCTATGCAGTGGTTCTATGTTTGTATAGGTATTTTAGAGGTGAAATGGAAAAGATAGGACTATGTTTTGAAAACTGTTGCCTGTTTTTGAGTGAATTTTGCCTTTGAGTTCTTCCTTAAGATGACTGTCTTCAAGAATCCCAGAACTTATGTAATCTAAATCAATATTTATTGCTGAAAATAGAAGACAAACCATTGAAGTTCCTAGTCCAGGTCTGTGCCAAACCATTGGTGGAACACTGAGTACTGATTCCTGTACACACACCACCTCATCATGCTAGTTTCCATTTAGTCATTAAGTTCAGGAAATATATATTTCACAATATACTGCTTCTCACTTAATCTACCTGCATGTTCCTGCCATGAAGTAATTAAAATAATGAAAACTGGTAAGCAGAATGGGTAAAGATCTCTTACTTGTAATACTGAACTTGTAAATAATTAAGCAGCTATCATCACTGTCAGGTTATTACTTTAAGCACCTTTTTCAGCTGTTGGTGTTGGTTACTCAGTGCACTGGGGTGAGGAAATAGCAATCAAACAAGACTATACACTTAATAACAGGACTGAATTTTTTGTTCAGTATAGAAAAAAACCTCCTTTAGTGATCACTGCACAATTGCATAATGACTTGGGGATCAACTTTTCCTAATACTCAACTGCCAATTAAGTAAGATAAAAGCTAGCCATGTAGATGAAAAATATAAAATATCCCAAATGAATACAAATATTACATAACAGCAACTAATCTGCATGTTAATTATAGCTGCAATAATGGCAGGAGCTAGGCTGATCATGACAGTCTGTTCCAAATCATACTTGGCAGGGGATTATTATTTTACTTAAATTTTAATTAAGAAATAATATGGGTGGGAGATTTTAATAGAGGTGAAATAAGTAGCATAAATACAGAAATATAGTCATTCAATGCATTAAAGACTTTAATACCTTTAGAGAATCAAATACTGAATAGGTTTGTCATGTTTTACTGCTCTATTCTATTGGCAACCAAAAGTCAATACAGCAAAAGAACTGTAGGTTATGAAAACCTTTTCAAAATATAAAAGCTACCTTTCTCCTTCAATTAAGTAAATTGCCTACTATTTCATTGAGTGCTAGGAAATTTTAAATTATTTTTATATCTTATGAGCAATCACATCTATTGACAAAAAGATTGGGGATAAGGAACATGTACACAATAAAAGAATTTTCTAACCTTAATACAAGTTCAATAAAATTGACTTCTTTATTCAGCTTTTTATTTAGTGATCTGTAGTTCTGTGACTTTCTATAGTGAGGTCTGTAGCAAGGTGTGCATCTGTGCTCTTTTAAGCAAGCGCTGCTGGGTGAAAAGATCAAAAAAGACTGTGGCTTCATCCTGGCTCTGCCAGTGGCATCTCCAGTGACTGAGTTAGGCATCTAATCAACACCTCACTTTCTTATCTGAGAGGAAGAGATAATTATCCCTCCTTTACTATGAAAACCACATTAATTCATTCAATAGAAACTTGTACAGAGTATGAAAGTTTACTGTGCAATGCATAGGAGGCCATGGAGCAAAATCTGGTGTGAAGCGAACAGTTCTGAAAGACAAGCTCTAGCAGTTACAAAAGGCAGAGAAGCTGGTGGGAAGAGAGAAAGAAATGTCATGTGTGGTGTTTTAAGCAGTCTGTAACTGTCAGGGCTGTGGGGCTCCCGTGGGCCAGGGGCCTGCCCAGTGCCATGGCTGGGCTGGTGGGACAAGGCCTGGCCTGGAGCCTTCTTGGGCCAGCCTGAGACAGCAGCCTGTGGCTCGGGCAGGGGGAACTGGCTGTGGCCTCACCAAGGCTGGAAAGGACAGGGCTCTGGGAGCCCTGGATGGGGCTGAAGGCGTGTCCTGGGTCACAGAGGGCATCTGAGTCAGGGGAGATGCTGGGGACAGCAGCTAGGACCAGTGAGGCCTTGGAGATATGTCTAGGCTGCTTAAGCTTCAATGCTGTTTGGAGTATAGAGCCTAGTGTTCTCTTTCCTAGTTTGTAATCGAACCCTTGATGGTGGTGAAGGCATTTCTTTGGGTCTGATCTCTATGGCTTTGGGTCAGTAGTTGGCTCCAGGCAAGCATTGCTCAGCTGGAGACACCTCATTCCAAGTTGTACCTCATTCTGTGTCGTACATCGCTGTCCTCTGCGTGAGCTCATCCTGTAGGTTGTGCTCCATGCGTGCGTGTGCGGCACAGGATATGTATTTCAATGCCAAGTGCAGAACATCTGATTCACTGTGTCCAAATTTGTCAGTGAATGAGGTCCAGCTATGCAAATACAAAGTAATTTTAAACTTATGTTGCGTTATTTGCTTGGGAAGTGTACTGAATTACTGTTGTAACTCTGAATAATTTGTGATTATCAGTATAGTAACATCACACTTTGCTGTAATCGCTAGTAAGAACATGGAGCGTGCTTTCTGGGAGGGAAACTAATAGAGAAAAAAGAATCTGATTAGCTAATTAAGTTGCAGTGTTGAGCTTCTCTGAAAACAACTGTTGGCCTCCGTTTAACATTTTTAGCATTGTTCTACTGTTCATTGCTGACAGATTCAATGACATTGCTTTATTAGTTCAGTGTTACTCTCAGGAAGTTCCTGTACCCTTGTGTCCAGCTGTGTCCTCAAGGCCATCTCACAGCTATGGGTTTTGACCATCACAGGATATACTTCTATTGTAGTAATTATCACATAACCACCATTTATACAGCATCTTTGCTTGTATAAGGATATCCCAAAGGGGATTAATGGCAATTGATTTCCTGCTTACTGGCCTACAGACAAGTAATCTATAAACAAGATCCTTCAAGCTGTTGGTCTGTGCAGAGTGCTTGGAACACTAATGCAGATCTAGTGCTCAGGACTTGCTTCAGTGCTGAATTTTGCTGCCTCTCCTATTTTTGTTTAGCATAACTTGTCGAGTGTTCAGCAAGTCATTAGTATTATGCTGTCACCAAAGTATCACTGTGCTCGTGGCACAGTGGTGCTTTGCACGCAGTATGATTTAAACACTGTACAATCCACGCTGGCTTTTCCTGGCATTTCCCTTGATGTTTGTGCAGCACCCATGACTGTAGCACATGCCAGGCAGTCACAGAGCATGGCATCCTTGCTGCAGCATCCATGAGAGACTGATATGAATTCCAGTGTGTGTTCCTCATCAGAGAGCTTGGTGCAGCTGAGGCTCCTCTAATTTCTAGCTCTTCTTTCTGTGAGAGCCACTTACTGACAGAATAATTCCTGTGATATATTAAACACTTGCATTGAAACACAGGTTCACTGATAGCGCGGCAGCTCCCTGCAGATTCTTTATGATGGATTTTGTTCCCCTCACACTTCATAATTGCTGTCTTGTTACATCATGCTTCTCAGTGAAAGTTTACTCAGATAATTAATTCTAGTGATGGGAAATTAAAATTATACATGAATTATGTTCACACCTAGTATGCAGTATTTTGAACTGATACATCGGAAGCTCTTTTGGTGTATGTCTGACAAATTCATTTGTATGTAACTCTGTAATTGCGTACAGGGCTGTTGTCAATGATGTTGCTTGCAACAAAGTAACATATTGTATATTTAGTGCTAAGTATATGTTTTGAAGATGCAATGTCAAGGAGAGTATTATTATCTAGTTAGTCTGGTACCTTATAGAACATTTCTATTTCTCTTATTTCTAAAAATGTGGCCAAGTACGTTCTTTGTTTCACCTAGTAGGGATCCAGGAAGAGAGATTTTCTGGTTTTTATTACTATTCTTGGCCCCACCTATATACTGACTTTCACTGTCAAATTGCTAAACATTAACCCAAGTACTTACTTTTCAGGAGGCCCAGAAGATCAATGGTGGTGGAGATACACAGGCAGATGGAGCCTGCAAACCAACAGATGAAAAAGAGGAGAATGTGGCAGCAGAAGTGGGATGGATGACGTCTGTGAAGGATTGGGCAGGAGTCATGATATCTGCCCAGACATTAACTGGCAGAGTACTTGTAAGTTTTCTATGATTTTCTATGTTTTTATTTTAAAGGAAGCACTGTGTCCCAGCATTAGTGGAGGATTTTTGATTGGTTTGTTGCGTCAGCACTGAGTCAATCCCAATTTTCTCTGCAAAACAGCAGACTAGTTCCCACTGCAAGAGAGAAGCAGAGACAGCAAGTAAGAAAAAATGACTGCCAGTCCACTCCCCAGCCTATTTCACAACTCTGCCCCATGATTTTGAACTACAAACAGTGAATTTATTAATTTCATATAAGGTGTTAAAACTATAGACCTATTTTATCTGAAAGTAAAATTGTACCTGGAAGAATGGAAGCAAACTTGGAAATTAAGCCCAGTGTTACAAATCTAGAGAGTGGTCAGAACTGTGAAGCACAGACAAGACTGAAATGACTATGCAACGAGATTTGTGGTATATTCAATAGACTAATAATGATTTTATATTCCCTTTATATTTTTCTTTATTAGTGTAAAAATCCTTCAGACCTGTGAGCAGTTACATATCAAATGGAGACAGATGATGGTAATGTGTGGTTTAAAGGGAAAAAAACTTTTTCATTTTTCACTTTATTTAAACATAATTGCTTTAGAGCATTGTCAAATAGTAAAATGCAGGGGCTTTCTGTGGAGTTCACTGCAGTAAAAAGTGTCTCCTATGTAATTTGGATTCATTTTCTTTTTAGAATGCATATACTTATAAACTAGAAGCTAAAGTGATTAAAATCCCATTTAAAACTTCAGAGAATCCCAGTGAAATTTTGTAACTGGTTTGAAATATAATCATCACTGAAATATAATGTTCTTGGTGCCACAACCTTTGAAAATGTGACTTTTGCTCTTAAACAATGTGGATGGGAATTTGACATGTGATTTAAAAATGTGTCCATGTTAAATTGCATAAGCACGACTTGAGAACGTGCTAATTGAACCCATGCAGTTCTGTTTGCATTTGATGTTGAATGGCATAAATATAAATAACAGTAAAAGGTACAAGTTTGAATAAAATCTGTTCAGGAAAATACTGATTTACTTTGAAGTGCTGTAAAATGCTGTCGATGATGGAAGTATCAGATTTCTGAGGTGAGTTTCTCAAAGAAGAATCAGACACATTGATAATTAATCTCAAGATGCAGGAAATTAAACATGTTTATGAACTGATTTTGCTTCCTGAAATTATATCATTTGAGTAAGAAGAAAAAGATTTACTTAATTATATGGAGTATTTGATATACAGAATGAAGTCATATATATATATTGTTGAATTTGACACAGTTCAGTCTATGGAAATCTGTAGACCCTTGACTGGCTTCTGAGAAATTATTAAAAAAGGGTAGAGGGCCTCACTACTCATTTGGGGAAAACCAGTGGATCTTTAATTATATAAGTATTTATAGTACATTTTCCTGGGAAATATAGATAGGTATTTTATGTGCCTTTTGGTTTGTTTCCTTGTGTGTTTTGGTTTTTTTCAGTATTTTTCACAACTAGATTTGTTCTTGCTGCTTTTTATTTACTTTTAATTTTTTTTTTTTTTTCTGAATGAGAGGACTCAAATTTTTTTAGTGTTGAGGGGGAAAAAATCCCCACAACCTCTTGTGATATGTAATAGTTTTCTAGCTGCCAGAGTGGAATTTAATAGTTCAGAAATTGTGGGGTTTCTCCCTGTTTCCAAAGACACAGTGGCTGTTATCTCCTTGCTTTAATGACAATAGGAGCTCAAAGGATAATTTGGTATTTGACAGATAAGAAATTGGACAAGCAGGTGTGTTTGGTATACATATACATTTTTTGACAGTGTTCTTGACAGTATCAGCTATTTCACTAGCTTTTCAAAGCAGGAAGAGAAACCTTCAGTGAACATGAGTATGCAACATTTCGGAATTCAAATATGAAGTTTAATACGCTTTCTCAAGGATAAGACAAGTTCTCATAAATTTCTTTTTTTTTCTTTCTTTTTTTCATTTTGGATCCCTCTCATCCTGGAAATGTCCTGTAACCAATCTTCTTGTGAAATTAACATAGATTTTTTTATTTTTTTCTGAGCATGTGTAATATTCTTAGGATGCAGTTAATCTGAATAGGACTTAATTTAGAGTAAAATATATTAATTGGCTAGAGAATAGGAATTGAATGCATGCTTCAGTGATTTAGTCTTTCATACTCATAATATTCTAAGCCTTTTACAAGTCCAATATGGCATTAGTTTTGCAGCAGTGAAGCACATGCATTCTTTGATAAAACAATTTGTTTTGCTCTGACAATACAGTTTTTCTTAGATAGTTATGCAAGGTTTGGTGGGACTTACAGAATATTCTAGTCAGGCAAAAATAAGTAGTGCCATATCTTCCCTTTAGCTGTGGTCTAGGTTTCTGAACTTAAAGGAGAAAAGGGAAAGTCTTTCCCAGCTTCTAGATCTGACTGTGCACAGGCAGGAATCACAAGATGTTCCATGCCCTGAGTGATGTGGTGTGGTTTTGCTGGTGGCCCACCCCTCTTTTTTTTTTTTTTTTTGAAGTTATTTTAGTTCTTGGAGATGGAAAGAATTACGTATGTATTTTAGATTATATACTATTACATTTGTATAAAGGTTCCCTTTTCCTCATCGTGGTCAAGAAGAGAAATGACATAAGGATTGAAGAGCTGATTCTTCCCTAGCTGGGGCATTTGTAGCAGGACAGTGCCCAAACTGCTGGGCATGTACCTTGCAGTGTGTCAGTGTAACTGCACAGATCTGATCATTGCAGATGCTCAGACATTATGAACTTCTTGTCAGTGTTTGGCACTCACCTGCCAGCTGTTCATGGGGAATGGTTTAGATTCTGCTCATCCCTATTGAGAAATGAACCTTGTCTGTTTAGTTATTTTTAGTCTTTGATAGGCCTTGGTGGCACATAAATGAATCCAAGGGATGAGTTCTAGATTGCCTTAATCTGTGACAATGATGGGGGCTATTTCCAGGGTTTCCATAGGAATAGGAACAATGTTCTCCATGTAAGTTCATGAGGTAATGATAATGGAATAGAGTAGGAAGTGTTGAGTAAGTCTTGTTTGTTTCTATGGTAACTGCAGCTAGTTTAAATTTCAGTTATGCATTTTCTGAATATTTATTTATTATTGACAATAGCGAGGGGGTTTTTTGCAGGCTTTTTTGCTCTGGATTGAAGGGTGGGCTTCTGCCCAGAGTCTGGTGAGAAAGTTTTCTATTGCACATAGGTCTTTAAAACTGCACGTAGGTGCTACATTTAGATGTAGCGGTTCTGATTGTTGCTGTACTTTTTATTTTTGGGAAACTGCTGTAATTTCAGTGGATCTTGTACTTAAAGGAATAATGCATGGTGATTCTTGGGGTGTCCTCTGCAGGACCAGGAGCTGGATACAATGATCCTAATGCATCCCTTATTTCAGCATATTCTATGATTAACATATGCTAATCTTAAATATTCTTGTCTCTGAGGTTTTTCATGAGTTATATGGCTAATCAAACATAAACTGTATTTTTTCTACTCAGTTTTACCAGTTTTAAGTACTGCTATGTGAAGAATGGATAAGGTTAGCATAAGGTACATGAACTGGTAAAATCAAATGAAGAAATGAATAAACAGTACATTTTATAATGAAATGACATGAAATACACTCAGAACTGGACTTAAAACATTGCATTTGAATTCTTAACTCAAAAGGTGGAAAAGTAGAAAATTAGTGTATACATAACACGTGCAATTTATCTTAATTAAAACTCCTTATTTTTATAGGCCTCCTTTTTGTAAGCCAGATCTCACTCTAGCCTAGTCTACCTTATTTTCTGTCAGGTTATAGCTGCTCCTATGGAAGTTACCCATTTTAAAGTTATCTTCAGACTTAGGGCTGTGTTGCACTGACTTTCATGACCTTTAGATAGTTGACCATGCTTTCAGAAACCATTCTAATAGTATTTAAAAACATGAGGCTTTTCCTATAGCGGGAATAAATATCTTCTGCTAAATTTTTTTGCAAGTACCACTTCTTTTCTTGTCTAAATTAAGGTATGCATGACATTCTGTCATTAAAATGAAGAAAAGCAAACACACTTTTAAAATAATATTTCAAGTTTTGAATGGTGTGATTATTTGGAGAAAGTCACGAACGTGTTTGCTCTTCAGAAGGCGAACCTGGTTTAGGTCACCTTCTGTTAGACAGTGCTTCATTGGTGAAAAATTGGTGTAAGACTGCACTATTGATAACCTGTATTGCTGTATCTCCATGTCAAACATGAGTTAAGGGCGAGTCTTTGCCACTTTTTTCTTGCATGAATCTAGCATGAAAGTGTGTAAATACAGAAATGTGCCTTGTGGTGATGCTGTGCTGATCCTCATGATCAGTGTGTAGTACAGGGGAAATTTGCCTTCCACCTATGGGGCACTGACAATAGCCAGGTATTGAACAGAAGATACTAACACAATTTTGCATATTTACAAAGCTTACTGGAGGAGGCAGATGGCTTCCCCTAAGGCATTTGTGCTGTTCCTATGTGGAGGGCTGCTCTGATGATTCAGTTGATAATATTGGGGTTTTTATGTGGTTTTTTTTTTTCCTCTTTGTGCTTAATGTATTTGAAAAAATAGTGCTTGTAATCAAAACACTCATGTGATAATGAATATTTTTGAAGAAAATTCTGTGTATGTTTTTGTACAGCTCTCCCATCATTCATTGTTCTGAGGCATGGGGTAAATGGAACAAACTGCGAAGCTTGTGGTAAAAAGAAAAATCTCCATTTTGATGTTTGGCAAAATTTTCCACACAAAATATTGTCTATCAAAATCAGTTTCCTTTTCCTTCTTACCTATTTTTTTTTCTTTTTGAAACTGTTTTTAGGTATTTCTTGAATATTCATAGGTTTCTTGAGGAATATTCTCAACATATTCCTCCTGGTGTCAGTAGTTTTATGTGGCTCCTTAAATTTGCGTTGCTTTGGCACAGGAGATTCCTGTCTGCTTTAATTAATGCTTTGTTTTAG